ATATATATATATATATATATATATATATATATATATATATATATATTAAACAAAGATATTGCTGGTAATCTCACCTAAGAAACTTTTGCGATATATCAAAATTTAGAATAGAACAATAGAATCCATTATATGAATGAACAAATATAAAGTACGTGACCTATATTACTTTTTAACTTAGATTTTTATTGTAAAAGAAAAAAACTTCAAACATATATAAATATCTAAAAATAAGAAAAAACTAGTGATATAAAATAACTACATATAAAACTTATCAGTCGTTATCGAAAGTTGTGAGTTATCTTTGATGCGTAGTACTTTTAATGAGTTGTAGTATCATCTAATGTTATTATATTATTATGATTGATGATTATGTGTTAATATTTAGCATTCCAGTAATTAGTTAATAAGTGATGATGATGATAAAACTTGATAACAATAATAAGTGAGGTTTGATAAAATAACAAAAATAAATAAATAAATTGTTTTCAGGTGAGTGGACAGAAATGTAAAACGAAATGGTTGTGACTGGATCCATGTACTACTTCTACAAGTTTGGATCAACAATAGAGAACTTCCGAGCACTCAGTGCCACCAGCGATATAAGCGGCAGCATTACTACTGTGAAATATCCATCAATATTGCCATCAGTATCAACATCACCATCAACACTTAAATTAAAAGCAACATTGACGTTAACGCATAAATAAAGTCTTCTTTTAATTGCGGGTTTTTATCCGCTTGGTTTACTCCGAAGAGACACTCCAAGGCTGATTAACTTCCATTATTTAAATCCAACACCGGCTTCCGACTTACGAATTTTGTGGCAAATTTGTTGTTAACTGGTGGATTACGAATCGAGTTATGGCAACGATGGCTGGCGGCGAATATACTTCTGTTAAGGATTTTTATATGGGGAGATCTATTTTCATCACCGGGGGCACTGGTTTCATGGGAAAAGTACTCGTCGAGAAATTACTGAGGTCATGCTCTGGGATTAAGAATATTTATTTACTTATGCGACCTAAGAAGGGGCAGAGTGTGCAAGAAAGGCTACAGGAGCTTCTTAATGCACCAGTAAGTTTCATATATTTTTTTTTTTTATTGTCATTATACACATGAAAAAAATTTACTTGAACAAAGTAAATAAATTTGAAAAACTTTATCTTTCTGATTTGAGTAGAAAAATTCTTCAACTAAGAACTTTTTTTTGGTTTACGTAAATTTTACTTGATTTGAGATAATGAAACTCTTCAAAATTATTTTCTTGGTTCAAGAATTTTTCTCTCGTGTCTAGTTAATTTTTTTTTTCTATCTAATGATGATAGATAATTTCCAATTACCTTAATTGGAACTTTTTTTGTGCATCTAATTTCTGATCAATAAAAAAATTTTTCATTGGAATAAAAGCACTCGATTCTAAAGTAGTAGTCAGACACTTAGTATTAAATTATTTCTAGATGTATTTATATGGAGCTTTTTCATGTTTTGATCATAAAAAATTGAAATATTGAGATTTTTTTTCTTTTTAACAATTAATTTATAAAGCACCATACTATTTTTTTTCTTGAAGAGAGTAAAAATTTAAATATATTTAAAAAAAAAAGTATCATGAATTTTTGGTTTTAATGCTAAGAAGTTTAATCTAATAAATTTTTGAAAAATTAAAAAATTTTGATGTTCTATCAATAATACAAAAATTTTTTTATTTTTTATCCATAATTTAAGAAAAATTGTCAATATCACAGTTTTATGAATTTTGAAAATTAAAAAATTGACGTATTAATTATTAAAAAAAAAAAAAAAAAAAAAAAAAAAAAAAAAACTTGAACAAGTGAATTTTTCGATTATTTACAACGAAAAAACGACAAAGCTCCGAATCTATACAATTACTTGAAATAATTGAAGGCAAAAATATTTATATTATCATGGATTGTTTTTGAATAATAATATCAATAATAATTATGTATTATTTGTGTTATTTAATAGCTATTCGATAAACTGCGCCGTGATAGTCCACATGAACTGACGAAAATAGTACCGATAGGTGGTGACGTAACTGAACCAGAACTTGGAATATCAGCAGCTGATCGTGAAACATTAACAAGAAATGTATCGATTGTATTTCATTCAGCGGCGACTGTTAAATTTGATGAAGCACTTAATCTATCGGTTATGATCAATATGTTGGGCAGTCAACAACTGGTACATCTATGCCATCGAATGGATAATTTGGAGGTATGTAATCATTTATTCATTTATACATACATACTTTATCAACTCAAGCTCTCGTGAATTAATCACAATCTTTATTGCTAAACATTTATTGTCCGACGAACTTGATCCATTATTACTCTAATCTAATCTGAAACATTAATCCACTCGACGATCTATTATCTGTTCTCACTAATTGAAAGGATAGAGAGACAGGTGATAGAATGTCAATTTATATAAAAATATCTAATATATATCTAAAATCAAACAATTTTAAATTGCTGCGCAAAAAGTCTTGCATCCTCTTTTTCTTTTCCTAAAATTAGATATCCGTATGACCAAAATGTAAATATTTAAAATAAATGTTAATTTATAATTCAAATTTTACACAGGCGCTTATTCACGTGTCAACGGCTTACTGCAATTGTGACCGTAAAGAAGTCGATGAAGTTATTTATCCACCGCCTCAAGATCCCGAGCAAGTTATCAACTGCACCAAGTATATAAATGACAAACTAGTCGAAGAATTAACGCCTAAGTTAATTGAAGGTCGACCAAATACCTACACATTCACCAAAGCGCTTGCAGAGACTATGTTACAAGATCGTTGTAGTGGATTGCCGGTTGCTATTGTCAGACCCTCAATAGTCTTGTCATCGTTACGAGAACCGATGGCTGGATGGGTTGACAATTTAAATGGTCCCACTGGGATAATTGCCGCTGCTGGCAAGGGATTCTTTAGGTGAATTAATTTATTAATTATTGTGGTATTTATGGGTTAGGTGTAATCCAATTTTTTTTCAATTTCCAAGATCAGAAATTGAATTTACATTTAAGGGGTCATACGCACTTAGAAAGCCAAGATAAATAATTTTTCAATAATTTTTTTAAGATACTTTTAAATTGATTAAAGTGACTTTGAACTTTATTAATAAGTTTTTTTTTTTTTATGAATGATGATTATCCAAGCTCTTGTAAAAGATCTCCGGGAGGTCTTTTAAAAAAGGTTACTTGCGGTGAACACGATATCTATAATTTAAATCATCGAAATTTAATAATCTAAAAAAATTCCGTTAATGTAAGATATTATCGCGTGATTAATCAAAGAAATTGTGAAAATATTTATCTGTACTAATATTATAAAGATGAAAAATTTGATTGTTTGTTTGCATTGAATAGGCTCTGAAACTACTGAACCGATTTGAAAAATTCTTGGACATGTCTATTCATACGTAAAAAAGTCCTGATAAATCCACGCCGTGGGAATGTAAGGGTCTTAAATCCACGCGGCGTGAATTTAAAGGCCCTTATATTCACGCTGTATGGATTTATCAGGATTTTTTTGCGTGTGAATAGACACATCTAAAATTCTTTTACTGTTAGGAAGCTACATTATCCCCGGGTTAATATAGGCTATATTACATTATAATTAATTTTGAAATTGTTGTTAAATACCCGTACGGAGCCGGGGCAGACTACTAGTTTATAATAAAATAGCGGCTTCACAAAGAAAAATTAATTTTTGTATCAACAACACGGAAAGAACAAGATGACACTGGATATCATCCCAGATTATACTCAGTGATATCTGTAGCTACTATCTGAAATTTTTTTTCACTCAGTATAATCAGGGATGATATCCAATGTCATTTTGTTCTTTCCGTGATCTTGGCTTAAAAATATAGTTAAGATAATTTTGTAAAAATTTGGGATTCATCGGTTTAGCTACTTTTAATGAATCTTGCTCACACCGCGTACAAATATGCGTATAACTTTTAAAATGCTTGTTCAATTGACATCAAATTTTTTAAATAAATATAAATTATAAAAATTATACAAAAAAAAAAAATAATTAAAAAAAATCTTAAGTGCGTATAAATTCTTAAGTAGTAAAATTTGGATTATGTCTTATTTACAAGTAAATAAATAAAATGAAAATAAGTAAGAAAAATAATGTATTTTTCGAAACCAACTTACAGAACGATGTTGTGTCACGAAGAAAAGGTAGCAGACTTTGTACCGGTAGACATAGTGATAAATTTGATGATATGCGCGGCCTGGAAAACTGCAGCAGCACACCGTACAGATCCAGACACAATAACAGTGTACAATTGTTGTACCGGGCAACAAAATCCAATAACATGGAAAGAATTTATTGATTTGTCATTTAAATATAGTAGAATACACCCAGCAAGAGATGCAGTGTGGTATCCGGGTGGTAGTTGCCAAAAGTACTCATATTTGAACAAAATATTCATAACATTTCAGCACATATTACCCGCACATTTTCTCGATCTCATAGCTCGATTGAGAGGTACTAAACCAATAATGTTACGTGTACAGGCTAAGTTAACAAAAGCCGCGACTTGCCTCGAATATTTTACAACACAACAGTGGAATTTTAAGGACGACAATGTACGGAGACTCAATCAGCAGCTGAGTCCTGAGGACCGTAACACTTTTATGTTCGACGTTAGGCAAATCGACTGGCCTTCCTATTTGGAGAATTATATTATCGGTATACGACAGTTTATACTCAAAGAGAGTCCGGAGACACTGCCAGCTGCGCGTTCACATATTATGAGGTATTATATACTTTTTTACTTAAATTTATATTAATAAATTCTAAAAGTTTTACTCTAAGCCGACATTCAAGCTATTAAAGTATCAACTGACTTACAAACGTCAGTTACTGTCTAAAGTTGATAAATCAATCCATAAGTACTTTTATGCATGCATTTTCTGAAGTTTTACTTTTTAAAAATTCTTCTCATGACAGTCTAAGCACCGACTTTAAATACGCCTGAAAATGTTTTTTTTTTTTAATTTTAATTGATAATTAATTTTGTTTTGTAAGAGAATGATACTGAAATCAGCAGATACTTGAAAATTTTTTAATTTTTCTTGAAAAATAAACTAGGTTTAGAAAATTATTTAAAAAAAACTGCATACATAATTTTTTAGAGCTTCTAAAGATGGTATTTTTAAACAAATTTTTTTTGCTATAATTTATTTATTAAAAAAATTCTATCATTGTAGAAAAATATGTGAATTTTGTGTTGAGGGACTGTTGACAAATTTTTTTCCGTCGAACGGAAATTTAATTTATGGAAAACGTGTATCGGAAGTAAGCGTGACTGTCGATAATGACTAATTTAAAATTATTATCAACCAATTAAATACTTAAGTATTTTAACACGTACAAATTGAGCTTTAAAATTTTTTGTTTTAATTATTTATATTTATACATTGTGATAAAAAAAATTTGTAAATCAAGTAAAATTTTACTGTATAAACACATGATTAAATTAAATATTAAGTCTACTAAAAAAATTTATAATATATGCATGGTAATACTACGATATTGCCTTCTGAGTTTGATATTCATTCATAAAGTTTACTAATCTTTGTATATATTTATGGTTTAAAAATTAGTTTAATATAAACTTAACAACCTATTAGTAAAATTACAAGACAAAAACACTTAAGAACCGGTCCCCTCTTTTTTCGCGTCGCACTCACTGTGAGAAACGGTACTATCCTTGTTGCACTCATGATTATAAAACTATTGCAGTTTTATGTTTTTCTTTCAAACCAATGAGAATTTTTAAATAAACTCTCTGCTAAAAAATAAATAATTAAAAAATCTATTAAGTAGCTGGGCGTTTTTTTCAAAATTCTTCTTTGTCTAGGAGAAAAAAATTAAATGAAAAAATTAAAATAAAAAACCGGAGTTTATAAAAAAATTTTATGGTAAATTTAAGAAAATTTTTAATCTTATAATATAATTGCCCAATTTCAGTAGATAAAATTTAATTTAAACTATCTTTTATATTTTTACATAGTCGATTTTGTAAAATTAATTAACGTTCATTATCAATTTTGATTTATAAAGATGGAAATTTTTTTAAATAAATTTATTACCAGACATAATATTAAAAAATTACAATATATGGAAATTTCTTCTTTTTTTTCTACAGTGTACGTAATAAATAAATAGTCTAGTATTTTAAATTATTGAAATAAATATTATAAAAGTAATAATTGTCTATTTTATTTTCAGATTATATTGGCTTCAAAAAGTGATACAAATTGGCACAGTAGCACTTGTATTACGTCTTCTTCTGTCCCGTAGCTCAATCGCAAGATCCGCGTGGTTTATGCTTCTATCCATAGTACTCCGTATGTGCCGTATGATTGTTTGACGGCTCAGAGCCAAATTTACCATTTTACACAGTAATGTTATTAATGCAAAAATGCAAAAGCCAACAGAGGAGCTTAGTTGCAAGGTGCGAATTGTCCTTCGACCTTCATCGCCGGCATCATCGACATTGACGACATCAACATCTTTATCACCAACGTCAACATCAACATTAACAACACCATCATCATCATCATCATCATCAGCATCAACATTACTTTCACCAGCACAGCTCAGTATCCCCGACGACGACGCTCTCATTTCGCTCCCAAACGTTGGCCTTTTTAACGTTTGTATTTGTTCATAAGTTAGCAAATGATTTAGTATACTCGCGATTTGTCTGCGACAATTACTGGTTTATTATTTTAAAAAATTTGTCTGCTACCGATTAACTACTGGCTATTGTATCTATTACCACCAGAGCAGCGACTACTTTCAATTTTATATTATTCAAAAGTTTTCATTTTTTTATTTTATTCATCTATATAATAATAATAATAATAATAATAATAATAATAATAATAATTACTATTATTATTATTATAAAAAGTGGAATTGTAATTTATTAAATTTGTTAAAATTTTAATTATCATAATTAAAAACGATGGCAATTAAATGCCCGTTATTTTGTGATATAAAATATATTCAATAATACATAACGATTGCTGCTTCTCTAGACTAGAAATAAATGAAAAAAAAAAAATTAAATAAATAAATAACGGAAGTAATAACTAAAAATAAAAATCCATTAGCCGCTTATTCGGTACCCGACATATTTTTAAATAAATCTTTATATTTATTTATTTATTTGTAAATTATTATTTTCTGTGACTTTTTGTAAGATACCTAGATCTTGTATTTAATTGATTGATTGATTGATTGATTGATACCGACCCTGTTGTTATTTTTTTAGTGAATGATCCATTTATTTCGGACATTTGTATTCGATATTAGTTTATTGATACTTTTAAAATTTGATGATTGATGAGTTATTCATAAACTGCCACTCTGCGGACAGATTAATAGCAGAGCACATTTTAAATAAATAATAGACAGAAAAATATATATGCAAATAAATTGATAATTAATTAACATAAATACTTAACGAAAGATTTTTTTACAAATGTCGGAGTTTCATTTTATTAACAAAAAATCTCTACGTATCTTGCACAGTTATATCGTCACAGTTCATAATTATATTTATTATTTACTATTATTTATTAATTTTGAAGGCATTGGCAACTTAGTTATTCAAAATGAAATATTGTCCAGCAGAAATTAAAAAAAAAAATTATATATATTATATATAAATAAATTACTATATATTAAGGTGGTTTTAATTTAATGATTTTTGAATTTTTGTCGCGGATATTTTAGATATCTTCTGAGTTTATAAATCGAAATTTTTTTTTTATTCATTTAGAAAGTATCTAAAAAATGCGGAATAAAAATTAAAAAAATCATTGAAATAACAACAACCCTACGATATATAAATATATAAATAAATAAATTAAAAGCGAGTGTGCAATTAATAGCGTGTTCGAGTAATTGATTAGAAATAATTTGAGTGAAATGCAAAAAATAATAAAAATAGGAGGTTGTAAATACGAAATTGCTGCTAATAAACTATGTATTATATAGTTATTAAAAAAAAAAGAAGTGTCGTAAGTTAATGTTTTAACTTTTAATTAACTACTTAAATCTCAGTCTAGTTGCGAATTGCATGTTATTAATTATTATTATTTACCAATACTCTGTTACCAATAAATAATTAGAATTATTTATTTGATGATAAATTAAAAAATTAATAATTAATCTTACGGAAGTCCGTTTGTAAAAAAGACATGCCTTATTAAAAAAGGTTTTAATTATTACAATAATAATAATAATAATAATAATAATAATAATAATAATAATAATAATAATAATAACAATAACTAACAAAAATGCTTAAAATGTTATTGCTTTTAAATACTTTTGAGCTTGCTATCTAAAACTAATAAAAAGCTTTGATAAATTTTTTTTTTTTAAAGTAAATTTATTAATTAATCATTGATGTAATGCCGGTGCAGCTTTACTATTTTTAACAACTACTTAAATTTATAAATAATAAGTGCAAATAAATAGCTCTTCACTATCATTATTTACTATGAATATTTTTTTATTCATTTTTAACGATTATTGAAGACTCTTTTTATTTGTAATCTTTTATTATTAATAATATATGATATTAAATAATAATATTAATTATTATTGTATTGGTTAAATATTAAATTAATGAATAATTTATAATTATTTATCCAGTAGTTAGATAAAGCGAGTGAGTGAATAGAGGGAAGAATGAATTTTAAAAATAAATTGTTATCAAATGTAATGCTCGATGGTGTGATAGCAAATGATGTTTTCAATTATTATTATTATTATTTAATTATTGGTGTAGGTATTAAATTAATATTTAGCTATTTTATTTGTGATCAGACACGACAATCTCTATCTTTTGAAATTAATGTTATTAATAATAATAAAAATAATATAATAATATTAAATAAGTAATTTTAAAAGATAGACAATGTTAATGTGTTGAAAAAAATGCTAAATAATAGTCAATATTTGTACGTAATTGTGAATTTTGTGTCACCTGTTGCCTGTGCCTTTAAGATTATTAGACGCTGATTTATATACTTTAAAATATATCGGATATTTGTGGTGTTTATTTATTAATTAATTAACTACCGGTCGGAGTGGGCTTCCGAGGAAAAAAACTAAATGTCAAAGAAGATTTGAATTTATTGAATGACATAAAAATAAAGATTGTAATGTTGGGTGATTTTGTAAACGGTCGTTTATCGCCGCGCGTGGTGAATGGGAAGATATGGGGAACTAAAAAGACATGTGTAGAAAGTCACGTACTCACGAGGATGAGGCGAGTTCATTATTTAGGGTCAGGAATTTAAAGTAACAGTAATAAATCGATTTTAAAGAAACTAAATAAATTTAATGAGAAAAACAATAACAATAATAAATGTAATGTTTTAATTGAGGTAGCGCTGCGAATGTCATCAGCTAGTCTCAACAGTAACGTTATCCGGTAACACGATGCATACCATTAAAACAAAATAATATTTAATATTATTATTATTAAAATTATTATTGATTATAATTATTATTATGATTATGATTATGATTATGATTAATTATTATTGATTAATTTAATTAACATTATACTGTACTATTATTATAGAATAATATTAAAACGAAAAATGAAACATTGCAAATATTTTTTCTTTTTATTATTCCTCCTTCTTGTTTGTTAAAAATTTAATTATTTTTCTAAGTAAAAATATTTTTAAAATTTGAGTCATTAAAGATTATTTTTTTTTTTTTTTTTACAAGTAATTAATCACGGCACTATTTTTTGTCTTAGAAATATTTAGGCCAATCAACGAGTGACTTGATTATTTTTATGTGTTAGCTCAGAAAAATTTTTTTTTTTAATCATTGAGTAAGAATATTTTTTCAAAAAATAGACTAGTGCATAATTAAGTTTGTAAAAGTTTTTGTATTAAAATAATTGAAGTTTTTTTAATAATAATTTTTTTTTTTTTAAAGTTCAGGGTTTTTTTTTTACTTAAAAATTAGTTTATTAAAATTAAAAAATCAGAACAAAAATCAAAATTTCAAGAAATAAATTTTATTTCACAAATAATGTTTTACAAAATATAAAATAATATACAAAGTAAGTAATAAATAAATTAAATAAATTAATACTTAGGGAAGAAAAAAATTACATTGAGCCTCTGTTATCAGATAAAATTTACCCAGTCAATTATATACCCATTGAATAAAAGTTGACAATAAAAACTAAAATGCAACTATTGTCAACTTACAAAAATGAACAAAAAATAATAACTAATTAATAATAATAAATACAATGCAATAATATTATAGTATATTACAGTATATTCCAGTCATTAAATAAATTTACCTATCGGTTGATAAATAAAGATACATTAAATTAATAAGAAAAAAAAAAAACTAAAAAGTAGTTTTACAATAAATAAAATGGCATGAAATAAATAATTATAAGTCAAATGGAATTGATAAGTACGAGGTAATTCGTTAAAATACTAAGCCTCAGTTTAAAAACCTACCTAATTATAAGTTATAAATTATAAATTATAATTATAATTAAAATTAATAAGTACAGAAGACGGTAATTGACCGTTAATACTGTTTAGGCTGGAAAGACTAAATTATTCCTGCTTATCAGTTAATATTTGCACCTTTTTTGTTTGATTATGTTTACACTTCATTAATTATTAATGATGTACTTGATTTAACTGTTAATTAAGTTAATTGATCTTCTATGTCATCATGCGGATCACCGAATTGCTGAAACAAAAAAAATTTATTTATCTATTAATTAATTATTCATAATTAGTGTTTTAAAAAATAAAATTAAAATTTTTTTCACTTCTGGACAGTCAAAAAATTAATTGAGCTGAAGAACTGGGGTGTGGTGCATACCTACACAGAAATTGTCTACATTTTGAAAACTCACAAAATTTATCTCTATACGAGTCAAGCCAATACGTTTCTTTTGACATAGAAAAATAAACAGAATATCTATGCACAAGAATATCTCTCAGATTTGAAATCTCTACACAGTTTATCTCTACACAACCCTAATTTCAAGTCGTAAGCGCTTGATTTAAGAAAGAACAAATAGACTAGTAACACTGATACATTTATAAAAAAAAACTCCGCGGAGTGAATTATTTATTTCATTTATTACATAAAAATGAAAAAAATATTTATTAAAAAATTAATATAATTTTTTTCCTTAATTTGTAATACAACAAATAAATTTTAATATTTGAGAAAAATTGCATCAATATGTTTTTTTAATTTTTACAAGTAGCATTTTTTAATAAATACTTTCTATGATAATTTATCTATTATTAGATCCTAAAAACTGCCACATGTTAATTAATTTTAGTGACATTAAAGTAATTAACAGTTAATAGTCTATTTATTCTTTTTTTTTTTTCTTAAATCGAATGTCAAGCGCATAAGATTTGAAGTTAGGGTTGTGTAGAGATAAACTGTGTAAAGATTTCAAATCTGAGAGATATTCTTGTGCACAGATATTCTGTTTATTATTTTTATGTGTGTAGAGATGCCGCGGTGTATAATTAATCTTGTATAGAGATTTTTCTATGTGAAAAGAAACGTATTGGCTTGTCTCGTATAGAGATAAATTTTGTGAGTTTTTAAAATGTAGACAAATTCTGTGTAGGCATGCACTACACCCGAAGAACTGTACAATAATTGACATGAAGATAATTATTGAATTGTTGATAATTTAAAAATTATATCGAAAATTGATAAATTAAATTTAGAGAAATTATTTTTTGACTGATTTATAATAATTATTTAAATATAAAAATAATTTATTAATTTAAATATACAAGTACGTTTAAAATTATTATATAAATTAATGTAATTTATTGCGTTACAAACATTATTAAAATTTGATTGATTTTTAGAATATTTAATGATAAAAAATAATTTATTATCAAGTTAAAAAAAATTATAGTTTACAAAAATAAAGATAATTACCAGTGAAGAAGAAATGTCATCGTTCTCTTCGCTACCAGATTCCGAATCATTGACAACAGTCTGTAAAATACGTTGTAATTTTTGCAAGTCGTACTCGATGCTCGATCTACGTCTCCGACCACTGAAACAAAAAAAATATACACATTAAAGATAAAACATTTTTTTTTTTACACAAAAATTTAAATATCAGAAATTTTGAGTGTTTGAACAAGAGATATCGATCGATCTTAGTGATTAATTATCTGTCAGGTGATACTCAAATGAAACATTATATTTACATTAATCGCAAAATTACTCGACACAGTAATATTAAGTAAATTTATTGCTTTATTTGATAGAATCTAATCAAATGAAATAATTAAATGCTGATTCCTCTTGATTCTGACCTGACCCAACTTAAAAATTTACGCAATTTCCTTCTTTCCTCGTTGTACGTTATATTTCGAGTATACTTAACTCATTAGTTACTCTACGAAGTACATATCATTTATACATACATATATTAACACTTTTTAAGCTTTATAATTAATCACGCGATTGATAATTAAATCACTTACTCAAATATTGAGGAAATAAAAAAAATTATCATCTAATTAATTTTAAATTTATAATTCGTTATTTCAATTTTAATTACAACTAAACATTTATTTTTCCTTATTTTTCGCGACACATTTAGTTTTATATTTATAAACAGAATATTTTTAAAAAACTATAACATTTTTTTTTAACTTTTCTTCAATGAAAAAGTAAAAATATAATAAAAATGTGGGTGTCATTTATTTATGCTAAGAGAGAATAAATTGACGATGGAAATTTATTCTGCAATTTACTACGACTCTTGATACTATAAGATAAGAATTATAGTAATTTGATATATATATTTGTAACATCATTTTGGTACGTTACATTGTATTGCTATCACGTTTTTTTTTTTATCAACAAAAAATGCAAATTTTTATTTTCTTGTAAATTTATACTCAATCCTTTATTTATCAATTCAAATTTCTTCTTTCGATCTTAACTTAAATTACAAAAATTATTCATATACTTAAATAAAAAAATCAAAATATAAATAGTGCTTAAAATGAATATAAATATTCGTCGCACTTATAAGTTTAATTTCAACTGACTAAATCTGAATCTAAGAAGATAGTGCTTGAGTAGATAAAATAATTGATTTTAATCAACGGTCAACTTTAAAATGTCGTTTTAAAGTACTTGAAATAGGAGTTGGTCATTAAATTTGATAAGAGTTAGAATCAAATTCTCTTCACACGATTAATAAATCTTAGATAAATTATATTTTGATGCGTAATACTTATAGTTAATAAATGCGTAGTATTTCGGCTGATAATTATTTTTATTTATATTCGTTACGTCACTGGAATTTATCAATTCGTTAGTGATATAATTATAAGGGTTCAATGAAACGTGTGACTATGTAACTGTGATATAATTTCGGGTGACTAGTAGACAGATTTCTAGGGAAGAAATTATTTTAATTATGTATTGTATTGTATGTTATATTAATTATTAATAAAACTGCAATTTTTTATATTGTAAAACACTTACATTTTAGCTGGATCCACTCGACCAAATCCTACGGGGACGGTCACTAGCTTCCCTCGCATACGAGCTAGAGCCAGCAGAGTTTCTAGTTCTGCTAAACGTTGATCTGATACACGTTTACGTCGGCTGAAAAATTGAATTAAAAAATTTTTAATAAATTAAAATAATATCAATTAAAAAAAAAAATTTTTTAAATAATATTTTCAAAATTAAAAATTATAATTGCATGCATAAAATTTTCAATTTTTTTAACATATTTTATTTCAAATATAAAAAAATGTAATTGTTATTATTTATGAATTAAAAAATGTAAACTTTAATTTTTTAATTGAATTTTTAGAAAATTCAAGTGAAGAGAGATAAATCAAAATAATTTTGTGCCTACGTTTCTTCAGATAAAAAAACATTGACGTAATAAAATAAAATGAGTAATTAAATATGCAAAAATCTCGGATAATATGTGACTTTATTGCATCAGCCGAAATGCACTTACTGCACTTTTACTCAGATCTACCGGCCACCGATCCATTTTAGTAAGCGCTCCAATTAACTCAGTAATTTCCCACTGAAATTTTTTACCAAAAATTTTGATATTTCAGTGAAAAATTACCAAGCTTACAAATAATTCTTTACAATAAATATTAAAAAAATTACCTAAGAACTCCTCCAATAGATCTTGCTTGTACGTCAATGACAATCGTACAAATAACAATCACCACGATAACCGTCTTGAAGAAACATAATTTGTGGAAACTCTCCATGTTTTATTAAAAAAATAAAAATAGTTCCTCTTGAAAAGTCCACTGGGGAAAAAAGTTTTTATTGGAAAAAAAAAACTAAAAATTCTGACCACAGTCACTGGAAACGATGCCGGAAACTTTATTGCGAAAATATAAACGTCAAGCGGCAATTTTTTAAATTGAAAAACAAAAAATAGATCAATTATCAATAAATGAAGCAAAACTCGGTCCTGTCCTTTTTATCTCTTGTTGAACTGTACCATTCAGCTAGTTGCTTCACGCATATATACTCCAAGAGCGTTGAAGGCTTCTCCCTCCACTCTATCAGCGATCCTCCCTCACTTTTATCTTGCGCTTACACCGTGTACGAATCTTGCCGTATAAAATCCAAAGATAATTGATCATGATCACACGTGATAAGTATACCTGTGTATCTATATACCGATGTGAGCCAGCTGAACTTAATAGCTCGCTTACTAAGGGCCCAAACATCCCGCGATGACCACCAATAAGCTTACAATCCTCACGCCCCCATCACGTCTGACCAGACCGCCGTACTCTCCTTTAGTCATCATTTCTTTTAAATTTAAATTTAAATTGTCTTTCTCCTATGAGTAATCCGGCAAATTTTGCACTCACCTGAATGGCAAAATTATAAGTTACTATTATTGGGAAATTGTTTATTAAATTATTACTTACAACATTTATGGTATATAATTAAAGCCTGAGATCGTTTTTTTTAAATCCTTTTCTACAAAGTATGACTCAACTAGATTCGCATACATTCTTTTCACTAAATCATTTTAATCAATTTCAATTTAGATTATTTTATATTTAAATTCTGGTATTCAAATATCGTTTGAAAGAATTTTTGTCTGGAGAAATTTCCAAACTTTTTTATTTATAAATAGAATTAGGTATTTTTATATTTCTTATAATTTTATCAAATAAATATTTATCGTTCTTTTTTTTTGAATCATTTATAAAAGAATTATTTATTTTTCTAATGATTTTTAATGTAATAATACACTTCTTAAATCATGAAATAAATTTAATTTATTTAAGCTTATTTTTTTCAATCAGAAAAATGAATAATAAAAAATTGTAAAATTTAGATAAAAAATTGAAAATTGATTCTAGACTTTTTTTATTTAAATTAATTATTATAAAATATTTTCAAATAATGCAAAACTATTGCAAGTTAAAAAAATTTTTATAATAATTTATTTGTTAAGAAAAAATCGAATTTCTATAATTTGGAGTATTGTAAATAATTGAGTTGAAATATGAAAATAAAAATAGTGTAAAAAGTATATGTTAATAATAAAATAAAGTTAAAAAAAAAATCAAAGTAAAAGTAAAATGGTCCATTGATTGATATTAAATGGCGATATAAATATGAGTATTGAGAGTGGGAGAGTGTGTTCTTGACCTAGGTTAATACACATAATATGCTACTACAGAACGAAGCCTCCTCGTGTCATGTTAATGTATAATTCTCTTCTCGGTGGTTCTTATTCTACTTCTCCTTATTTCACACGCCGTCGTCGGTATTTACGATTCAAAAAACGTACTGTGTACAGTATATAGTACTATGCGAAACCGAGCCATTCATTTTTATTTTATTGTCGAACCGGCTATGTCCAATTCTAAAAGAAGAAAATAATAAATTTAGTTACTACAATAATCGGCGTATCAATATGATTATACATTCTTATTGGTTATTGCTTTCAAGATGAGACATCTTTATATTTTTATTTTTTTTTTTTTTCATATTAGCTTATATAATAAATACACTATACTCGATTAAATTTTTTTTTTATCCTGTATAGAGAGATAAATTATTTTTACAGAGATGTTGGAAATTTCATTTTTTTTGGAATCGATTTCTAAACGAAAAAAAAAATGTTAATTACTTTACTTTGATGCGTAGTTATATGTATGTCGCAATAAGATTTATCATATTTATACAGGAGCTTTATTTTTAAAATTTTTGTTTTAATTTTGGCATTTATTTTATTTTGCTGTAAAAAATAACTTTTATTAGGAAAATATTTATACTTCCTCTGTAAGGAAAATTCAATAAAGTAATTTTGGCAAAAAAATATATTTTTCAGTGGAAAAAATAAATTTTAAAAAACTAAAATCAGACGTCTCATATTATATCTTGTTGTGAAACATAATTTTCAATATCTTTTTACTTTAAGGAAAATATTATTAAATAATAATTTAGTAAAAAAAAAAAAAAAAAAAAAAAATAAAATTAGCAGACACTCGATAATTTATTTATATAAAATAAATTTAAACAAGTTCAAACATAGGAAGAATGTTAAAAATTAGTATGTGCATTTTTTCAAATAATTATATGTAATTAGTGTATATAAATACTTAATAATTATAACCCGTCTGCTGTTTTTATTAATACAAATCTAAATATTTGATGAGAAAAAAATTTTTGAATAAAATAAGATCTTAAAAAAAATTACGAGCAATATATTTGAATAATCTAGAATAAAACTTACGAAACTTGATAAAAAATGATAAATTCGATACTTGATTATTAATATTGGATTTTTAAAATTTAAAAAATCTGTTAGCAGTGAGAAGGACGGAGCGATTTAAAATTTGAAGTTGTCGATGTTGATTGGTGTCGGGTCTGTGAAGATAAAGCGAAGCCACTGACCTATTCGTTTCTAAAAGCCGATCGTCGAGCGTGATTGGAGACCGGCAATTCCCAAGTCAAGAGAAGAGTCTCCTCTACGTAACTTTCGATTGCTCGCTCCCTAGAAAATAAAAGCCCATTATTTATTGTAATAAATTAAAAAATCACATTATGTTATGTATAATGTAAAATAGTTGATAAATTAAATGCCGCCAAAGATGCGAGTAACTTAAAATCCAATATTGCGTCTTACCTTAAAACCTTACGCTTTTACACTAATAATATGAAAGTTAGCGTTAGAAATAAAAGAGAATTAGTAAAAAAATTTACATCCGATAACGATCGTGGGCGTCTGCCTTACTATTAAGTAAATAAATAAATTTAACTAAAAATTTTTCGGTTATTGTCACCATCTGTAACAAAAAAATTATTGTTATTTTATACAGCAAATTATTTTAATTGGTTTACAATAATTATCATTATCTGGTTATTAATATTCATTAGGTATATTTATATCTACGTCTGATTATATTATTTTAGTAAGTAACATTATTTTAACCGCCCGATTATCGGATGGGGGAATGATATCACGCCGATTTGCAAATACTGACAGGAGTCACGTGGTAAATAAAAAGTTGCCAATTTTAGTTATCTATATCAAAAGAATAAAAAAAAAATATACATTTTTTTTTACACTAAAAATAAATACTAAAAATTTATTCGGGCTAATGATGATGATGAGTATTTATAATCATAATTTAACACTCCTTAATTACCATAAATAAATAAAATATTAAAGATTGTGGTATAATGAGTAAAAACGCATTAATTTCATAAATCAATCAGTTGAAAATGTAATTTTAATATTATCAATGAGTTTAAAAATTTTAATGTGTCTGCAATCCTAAATTATTTATTTCGAAATGTTTGATAATGCAATTAGTCGAATTTAAGTATTCGCATCATTAATTTATTGCGATTTATAGATATAAATTATTTCTACGCACTAATTTCTTCTTAACAAGGAAATCCTTTCGCTCCAGTTGAGTCAAAACAATTGTAGTAGTCAATATACGATAAATTAAAATAAAAAACCCATAAAAATTCCTAAAATTAAATAATAAATAGTATATGAGGCATTAATCGTTGAAATTTTGAAAATAAAAAAAAAAAATAGTTAAATACAAAAATTAATTTGACTCTTTCAAATCAACTGCTAGTAACCTGTCCGTGATTTGGCAATACTGTACTTCTACAATACATCTTAGTAGATTTCCTGACAGGGTGTTGGAAAATTACATGAATTGTATTTTATTTAGCATTGCTATACACTGATTTGTAATTTTACAAAAATTTTTAACAGTGTGTAAATAAATAAATTAGTTTGAATTTGTTGAATGGTCTGAAGCTCGCGCGCTACGCACCGTTGCCAAATGTTTTGACTCCATTTTAACGTAGGTTGCTTGAGAATTTTTTGTGATTTTTAAATATTAATTTCTCAATCAATATCTCGGTAACTGATATATTTTATTGTAAAAAAAGAAACCTGAATATTTCGAAAATCTAATTTTTAGTTTTTTTTTACTTCATCTAATCTATGACTGATAGTATAATTCGAGAAATACTGCAAATGTTTGACTTTCTCGTAAGACTCTGAACAAATACTAACATTTAAAAATTTTATTTTTTCAAAAATTTGTCCGGTAAAGTATAATTTAAACCTCACTATTAGATAAATAAGGACCTTAACTATTAGAAAAAAATTGAATTTACTCATAATCTAATATTTTTTATTTTACATTGGCGACGAAAGGACCTCCTTATAATGAATAAATAAACTACTACAGCTTACTAGAAAACTACGCGGAAATATTTTTACTATTGCTTATCTTAAAATTAAAAAAAATGCTGTGATAAATAAACATTTTTAATTTCTAATTATATCATTTTCAGAATGAAATATATTATATTAATATGACATAGCATTAATAATTGTAGAAAAATAATTTTTTGAAATATTACTGATTATAAATTGAAACAAAAATTTTTTGGTTTGAACGAGTGCCAAATATTTAGAAGTGTTTTTCAACAATTGTCAACAGTTTTCAAGTATTTTTGCATTATTTTACGATTACAAAGTTTACAGATATAACCTAATTGATTATTTTGGTAGAATAGTGTATTCCTGGCGCCCAATGTTTTTCTTGAATTATTGATATAAACAGAATATGCATTTGTACACGGCTAAAAAATTTAAATTGACCCAAGATCAAGAATCTTGAACCAAGAACACCATTTTGAAGAAAATTGAAGAAAACACTCTCGAGTCATGAAGAAAAATTCTTAAATCAAGAAAATT